ATGACATGAGACAAAGTATATGTGAACTGCTGTATGAAAAATGAATTTACTCTGTAAATCTTCACCCAAATCCTAATAAAAAAAAAAAAAGAAAGTTGGCAAATCACTCCTTGAATTCTTGTTTAAAAAAAGAAGCCACACCAGTAAACAGCCAAAAGCTATCTGACACTTCAGGCTGTTCCTAGAAAACCAATTCTGTATCAGCATCAGTATCTATTCATTCTACAATCCATCCATATAATGTACATCTTATCGTCACGCCCCAGTAATTGTGTATCATCAGAAAGTTCAATCATCATGGAAGGACCAAACTATGTACTGTCTGCAGAAAGTACGCAGGTTTTCATACTTTGAAAGGTTATCATTGAAAAAATTTAATGTAAAAGCTTGAGTAATTGGAGAGTTAAACTAAGCTACCCACATTACTTGGCCATCTAGAATGACTCCTTCCCTGAGGGATTCAAACAGCCATGATTTCATGGAAGGTTTCTTTCATGATTATTAGACTACCAGCAAAAACGCCTTCTTGCAATCATAGTGCTACGTAAGGTAAGTAAGACTACAGAACAAAATTCTACCACCACCATCTTAAAGCCCAAAGCCCTTGCTAGGGTACATTTTCAAGTAGCAATCAGAAACATTTACAATGAACTTATTACTACACATTGTGCTGCACTACACACACAGGACAGTACAGAAGAAGCACACATTTTCAAGCATGGTATTTAAACTTGAGTGGGGCCTATGGAGCATGAAGAATAACTCAAAATAGCATAAATGTAAAAGGCAGAGGATACAAAGAGCAGAAGTTACTACCGAGAACAAGTATACGATATTCTAGGGATTAGGTATGAAGAGGGGAGGAAAAAAGGAACTTATAAAGAACAATTAAGTGGAAACAGATGAATTTTAAGTACGGCAGAATACCAAACTTGTTTTTTAAAAAACAGTTTTGCCTAACTGAAATCAAGATGGGAGATAAAATTCACAGAAATGATTATCTTCCCTTCCCCACAAAGATGAGAATTTGTATCGCAAATGCATAATCAGTAAAGAGAGTTTATTCTGATAAAAGATCACTTGGGACAACAATTGAAGAAATACTCATTATAGCATTGACCATGTCCTTAATGAAAAGGAGTAACTCAGCAATAAGACTATTTTATTACTTTACTGATAATAAAAATAGCAATAAGAGTAATAGCTGACATTTATTGAGAGCTTACAGTTTGTCAGTCACTGTTCATAGGCGTTTATATGTGTTAATTTACTTAACTCTTGCAACAGAACCCACTGTTACCCCATTTTACACAATAGAAACTGAAGTCTACAGAGCCTCAGGAACTTCTCTAGGGTAACACAGCTAGGAAGCCACAGAACAGGCAGTCTTCCTCCAGAGCCTGGGTGCCCCTGGCTACTGCACGAGACTCAGGGTTTTTTGTTTGTTTTTTATAATTTTGCTGTCTAGTTCTTCCTTCTAGATGACAAGTATCTTAAAACCACCAGAAAGACACATGCACAGAAGAAATGTGATAAAGCATTACATCACTTACCATTGGGAAAAGCTAGTACACTGATGATAAGAAAGAAGAAAATAACAGAGAGGATGCCCTTCCAGATGTTGTCTTCTGGACCAGAATCATCCCTGAAAACAGAAAAACAATACTCAGAATTCATCTTCAACACTCAGAATCCATCTTCAGATGGAAATGGTAAACCTAGGACTCAGGGTTCCTTGTTTTAAAACTGGAGGACTGCTAACTTTTGTGTTTTTTTTTTTTTTCCTTTTTTTGGGGGGGTGGAAGCTAAATCATTACACACACACACACAAAACTTATTATTCACCATCATTTTCCAAAATAACAAAATCTCATAATAAAATCTAGTTCTTATAAGAAAGGCAATCAGCAAACTTACACACTCAGACAAGCATTTGAGAACCATTATTCTTTAAATATTATGTAAGATGTCAAAAGGTAAGGTTTATTCCGGGGAAATGCCTTTTGCTTTCAAAACTAACTAAAATGACCTTCATGAAGTAATAGAACCAAAGTACCAATATAGGTTGTAGCATCACAATCAGAATCAGAAAGGAAGCATAAGATTATAAGGAAAAAGGCAGTCAATGAGATTATGTAACACTTTTCTTCAGATGGTATCTTAGTTATCTATTACTGCCGTAACAGAGTTACACAAGCAGGTAGCTGTATTTTCTTCACAGTTTAGAAGCCAGAAATCCGAATTCAGGGTGCCGGCTCTAATGGAAGGCTTTGTCTGTGTTGGCTCTCCAGGATGGCCTTGTCTCTCTGAGCTTCTGGTCCTGGGTGATCTTCATGTGGAGTCGCATCTCTCTTCCCCCATCGCTGAATGCTCACTTGGTTGTTTAATCTTTTTTCTATCACAATGAGAGACTGACTCAGGATACACTAATACCATCTCATTAACATAATCAAGACAACCCATTTTCAAATGGGATTATAACCACAGGTGCAGAAATTAGGATTTACAACCAGAGCTTGGTTTGAAGAGGTTCAGTCATGGCTGATGTCGCCTACACGTTACATAGAAACCAATCTCTTGCATGGGAACTGCATGGGATTTTGACTGGAGTAGGAAACAGGCAGGAGCTCTGGTGGTGTAGTGCCTAAGCCATCTGACTGCTAACCAGAAGGTTGTCAGTTCAAACCCACCAGCCACTCCTCAGAAGGAAGGTTGGGCAATCTACTCCCGTAGTGATACCGCCTCGGAAACCCAAGGAGAGGTCGCTATGAGTCAGCTCTGACTCCACAGCAGTGAGTTTGGTTTGGTTTTTTGGAGGAAACAGGCAGCCCTGTTCAAAGACGGCAGCCGACCACATAGCTTTGAATGTATCAGTCACCATCTTTAAACAGGGCACCGCAGCCTGTCAAAATCCCATGCGCAAGAGATTTGGTTGCTATGCAACACGTCCAGTCCTTGGCTATAACTGAACCATCTTGAACCATTCTGAAGCCCTGTTTACAACACATATTTTGGGGACATAATTAAATCCCTAACAAGTGCTCTGAATTCTCCAAGAACTTTCCCAGGTTGTATTTTACTCAACTGCTCCACAACTGCAGAGGAAGGCCCAGTGAGCATTACCTTCACTGGCTGGAGGGAAATAAAGCTCTGGCGTTATACTGCCCACGGTTACACACAAACGGAGGCAGACCGGAAGGAGCAGGTACAGCACTTCCAGCCTGCTGGCTCCAGACTTAGAAGCTTAGGGAAGCAGCTCCTCTTTCTTCTTTGCTAACCTAGGGGGTGCTCCTGAGCACGCTGAAGGGTGGAGCCCTGACCACTAACAGTGCGCACAGCTAGTTTAGTTCACAACAAGACTGTCATTTAAGCTACCAGAGGACACAGGCCCCGTCTTGTTTGTGTCTCTTCCTCCCAATCCCGTGCACAGCATACTGCTTGGCACAAAGCAGGCATGCTATATATAGTTGTTGCAAGAATGAGCAAGATAACAAGCAAATGCCTAGAGCCCCAAGTTTATTAGTGGTGGTGGTGGGGGGAGATGGGGAGTTACTACTCAAGGAACACTGAGTTTCTGTTTGGGAGGATGAAAAACTTTTGGAAATGGATGGTGGTGATGATGGTAGGGCAGCACGGGGAATGTAATTAATGCCCCTGAAAAGTGGCCAAAATGGCAGATTTTTTTGTTATATGTATTTTACCACAATAAAATCACAACAAAGGAGCAAGATGATGTGGCTGAGTGGCCCAAGCAACTCAAGTACCATGAAGTCAGGTATCATAGTGAAACCAAGAGTAACAGCGACCTTCCTGTTCCCATGCAGGGAGTTAGCCCCAGAGAGAGGCCTACTGATGACATCAGCAAATATCTAAAAGTCTAATAAAGTATTCAAACACTTTTAACTCCTCCAGCAAACACCCAGAGATGTAAGAATGTCCTAAAAGCAGGAAAAGTATAAAGAAAAGTAGTGAGGTTAAAAAGAAAAAAAAAATTTGGCCTCAAAACTTTTGGACTCCTAGTGTGTGTCAGTTTCATATCTGACCACAGGCAGTGGGCCTGGAGTCTTCCAGGAACAATGGAAACTCCATTCACTCTCACACAATCTTTAGAGTTTTCTCCCTGGGGCCTGGCAGGCAGGAATGCCTAAACCATGTCATCACTCTGCTACCAGGGCTGCTAAATTGACTGTCCCCTCCCCCTCCTATCTTCACCTTCATTTACCTTTAATATGAGTCCCCAAAACAGAAATACATACCAAACAAAAAATTAAGGCCATGGCCATTGAATCCATATGATACAGTCACTGTTAAGGATCCTCTCTCCTGATGGAAAATTTAATCTTGGGGTACAAAGCGGAGTGATGTTAACTAGCTTTGGTATTATCTATGAATGCTCTACTCATTTCTTTTTTTTTTCTTTTTAAACTGTGATTTGGGTGAAAGTTTACAGAGCAAATTGGTCTTCCATTTAACAATCCATACACATACTGCTTTCTGACATTCACTGCAAACCCCACACTGTGACAGCGTTCTATCATTTCATATCACATAAAGGGATGACCCTTGTCAAAAGTTGTAACTGGTATCAACTAAAGAAGGAGAGCATTATGTTTACTTGGGATAAACAGATAAAGGATTTCTCGCACTAAATTCATTCAGCTTTAGGTGCCTACGTGCAGGGAAGTGGGGCAGCGACGGGTCAGTGGTTTACTTTTCCCCCTCCGTGCAGGAGATACGGGTTTGATTCTGGCCAATTCACTGTAGAGGCACCTGCCACCTGGCTGTCAGTGGGGGCTTGCATGTTGCTTGCATGTTGCTATGATGCTGACGAGGTTTCAGTGGAGCTTCGAGACTCAGATGGACTAAGAAGAAAGGCCTGGTGATCTACTTCTGAAAATCAGCCAACGGAAATCCTATGGAGCACAACCATCTGATTGCAATGATCATGGGGAGGCTCAGGATCAGGCAGCGTCTTGTTGTGTTGTGCATGGGTTCACCCTGAGTCAGCGTTACTGGGATGATTACTATAATGTACGTCAAGAAACTTCATAGAAACAAGTACTGCAGGGAGACATACAATAAAAAAGGAGTTTGGGGTATATAAACATTCCATCCTCTGTGTTTTTTGGAACAATCAAGATAGGTCCTGGAAGGGGACCATCCAATGGGGCCATCCCACGAGGGTGGATGGGGGACAGGAGGAGCCATGAGGTACTCTGCAGTCTGAGAGCAGCTAGCACGAAGCTGCAGCCTGGCACTGGGTGTGGGCCTGTGTGCTGTCTGGGCTTGCTGTGTGGGGAACTAGGGAAGTAGGCTGACTCTATAACGAAAGGCTTGAGAGTCCAGCCAGCACTTTCCCACAGACTATAAGCAGGAGACACATGGGATCACAATTTTGCCTTAAAAAGGTCATGAGGGTAGCAGTGTGGAGCACGGACTGGAGGGAGATGGAATCAAGGCCAGGCTATTCCAAAGGGGGGGAAGGGGGCGGTACTGAGCTAAGGTCTGGAAATGGAAGGAGACAACAACTCTGAAAGCTATTAAACTATTAAAGCTTTCATGGAACCTGGTAAGGACACTCTAGATGGCAAACTCCAGGCCAGCAGAGACTTGGGCCGGATGGAACAGACTGCTGAACTATGGAATCAAATTTCATAGCTGCCAGGGAGCTCTGGTAGCATAGTGCCCAATGCATTTGACTGCTAACCAGAAGGCTGGCCGTTCAAACCCACCACCCACTCCTCAGAAGGAAGGTTGGGCAATCTACTTCCATAGTGATACTGCCTCGGACACCCAAGGAGGGGTTGCTATGAGTCGGGTTCAACTCGACGGCAGTAAGTTCAGTTTTTTGGTTTTTGCCAGGGCCAAGGGTTGAGAAAGCAACCCAGCTTGACTCCAGGGCTTCTGGATTAGTTGAGACTAACTCCTGACTTCCCTACAGATATCTAGGGCCACAGGGATTATGCTATTATTAGGTGCCACAGATTCGATTCCAGCTCATAGTGACCTCACATATGCAGAGAAGAACTGTGCTTCATGGTTTTCAAGGCCGTGATCTTTTGGACGCACTCTGGGTGGATTCGAACTACCGACCTCTCAGCTAGTTGTTGAATGCTTAACCATTTATGCCACCCACGTATATATCACAAGATAAATTGATGTAAACCTCTAGTGATAGAATTATATTTGAAATGCTAGACACAATTATTTAAAACCAGACAAATAGGAATGAAGAGTGCTTACTAATGAGGAGTGTGAGAAGAAGCAATTTGTTGGCATTTCTCTCTGAGGTCCAGAATCATCTCAACCAAATAACAAATATTTGAATTACCCAAGTACCTGTTTACTACAGAAGACTCCAAAGAAATATATGACACATTTTTCCCTTCAATTAAGTTCATAATCAGAATGAAAAAAGCCAAAAACCAAACTCACTGCCGTAGAGTCAGATCTGACTCACAGCGACACCTCCTTGGGTTTCCGAGGAAGTATCACTACTATGGAGGTAGACTGCCCAGTCTTCCTTCGGTGGAGTGGCTGGTGGGTTTGAACCGCCAGCCTTCTGGTTAGCAGTCAAATGCCTTAGGCACTACGCCACCAGAGCTCCCAACATCAGATTAGGAGCATTAAATACCACACCTAAGT